TTCCCCTTTTCTCGTCCCTGTTTTTCGGGGAGGGAGACGGTCAGGAAGGGGAGGGGAGGAAGAGTAAGGTCAGACCTCTAGAGGGGGCAGAATCTACAGCCATTATTTAGAATTCTTCTGGAAAATTTGTCTCTTCTCCTCCTTTTTTATGCAATCACTTATCAGTATGGAGTTGTGTATATCTCTTTTATACTTTGGGTTATAATCCAATTCTCTGTTACAGATTTTGTTGCTTAAATTGTTCCATTTGGCCACTGGGAGATCTTTCACACTGGCTCCCATGTCCCTTTGACATGCTGCAGTCTCCCCCCATCCCCAAGATCTTAGCTTTTGATATAAACTTTGGTATTCTTCCCCACCTTTCCACTGAAATTGCTTTAAGGTCCTTAAGGTTACAGTGGTTTCTAGATTGTCAAGCCAAACTACTTGTCTCTTCTTATTTTACCAGAACTTTCTGTGACAATACTATTAATCTCTTTCCTTCAAATTCCATTTCATTTTCTAAAAATTTATTATGGAATTTTCAAACATAAAGCTACAGAAAAGAGCATTATGAATTTCCATGTATCCATCACCCTCCTTAAACAATTGTCAGCATTTTGCCCACTGTGTTCTCTCTCACATGCTCTGCCACTGGGACACATTCTTTAAAGGAAACCCCAGACATCATATGAGTTCAACTGTGGAGTTGTGTCTTCAACAGATCAGAACTTTAAAAATATTTTATTGACAGTTCCTCGTGCACCATGACCCCTTCTCCAACACACACTTTATAAAGGTCCATTTACTGAAGAAACTGGGTTTTCTGTCTTATTAAATTTCCCAATTCTGGATTTGGTTCATTGTCTTCACAGAGTCTTATGTTAGTCTAGTCCTTGAACTTCCTATAAATTGGAAATTAGATGTAGAGTCTTTATGAGATTGTTTTCATATTTGCAAAATATTTCCAATATGTTTGATATATAACTCAATTTATCTATCTATATTTATCTTAATTATATATGTACACATATATTTTAAAAACTACTTCATTGGTGGGGAAGTCAACTTCCTAAAGCATCACAGTAGAAGCCGTATTGTCCAGGTGTTCCAATTGTAATTTCCTCTTTAGAGACACCTCTAGCTCCTGACTTTCTTCCTTTTTGTCTTTGCCATTTTTCTCAGTTCCCTTCAGACTCTTCTGTATCTGGGGTTAAAATCATTGTCTTCAGGGTCCCACTGTCAGTGGTCCATCCCTAAGAGTCTGTATGTGGTCTCCCTTTCCATATTCCTAAGGCTGAGGACTCAGAAGTCTGTATTGTTTTGAATATTATTTTTTTAATGTTAATATTTTTATTTTGGGGTTACACCAGCTCATTGTTGCAGTGCACAGGTTCTTTTGTTGCTGCACACGGGCTTTCTCTAGTTGTGAAGTGTGGGGGCTACTCTTCATTGTGGTGTGAGGACCTCTCATTGCCATGGCATCTCTTGTTGTGGAGCATGGGTTCTTGGTGTGCAGGCTCAGTAGTTGCTCTGTGGCATGTGGGATCTTACTTCCTGAACCAGGGATCACACCCATGTCCCCTGCATTGCAAGGCAGATTCTTAACCACTGGACCCACCAGGGAAGTCCCAGAAGTTCATAATTTTTATGCCGACTCTCTCCACTGAGTTTGAAGCTCAAATATCTGGTGACCACCACCATGTCACTGGATGTCCTGTGAGCTCTTCAAACTCACTGTGTCCCCAAGTGGAGTTAATTATTTCTTCCTAAACCTGTTTCTCAATGTTTTCTTTAGCTCAGCGATGAGAACCACCATCCAAGGCAGAAACCTGAACCATCCTAGAATTTTCCTCACCTGCCCCAAATCACCAAGCCATAGAACCTCTGTTTCCTTAATAGCTCAACTGTGTCCCCTCTTCTCGAGGGGACAATTCTAAAATTCAGATAAAGAACAAGTGCATTATCCAGTCACATTCTCCAGCAGGACTAGAGTCTAACCCTGTGCTCCAGCATGGAACATACTGGAATCTTGCTGAGCGTTGTAATCAGCTCCAGATTCTTCACCATGCTCTGGATACATTGTGCTTTACACAGGTTGTGAATACGGCTGTCAAGGCTGAGTGCAGCAGGGTGAAGCACCTAAAAGTAGGGAGTTCAGGAGTCAGAATACTTAGGTTTGACCCTCTCTTCCCCAACTGAGAGTGAACTTAAGTTGATTAATTTTTCTGTGCTTCGGTTTCCTCATGTGCAAAATGGAAATAATATTTCACCACTTTCCTGGAATCTCCGAAGCTCTGGAAACTGAAAGTCATGTTTCGTTGTTTTCAAATAATTTGTTTGGCAGACAAACCTGACTTGACTATAAGGATATGAGGACAAAACTTGACGTGAATGGAACTGGAAATATTTATGGTGTTATTCCGCTTAGAATATTCTTCCATTTTACTGCAACAACTGACTTTGATGACAGGCTGCTGCCCCAGCCCAATGAGACCAGTTCCATAATATGCTGTTTGACTTTTCAAAAGTACCACAACGTCTGAATTCTGAGATACACCTGATTGAAGTTTTGGAAAACACGTTGTGTACCGGTGACAGCTACTTCACAGGTTTGTCATAAGTTGCTTGCTCAATTCATATTTGTAGAGAGATTAGAAGAGTACGTGGCCCCTGGGAAGCCCTATATAAGAGTTTGATAAAGATTTCATGTAATAGTTAATCCTAGAAATGAACTGAAAGAGAAATGATTTTGTCAGAAGTTTGCTGAATTTTGGAGGCTTCCATTGAAGCTGGGTTCTACCATAGCTTTTCTGTTATTAAGAAATGAAACCATGGCTGACTCATGTCAATGTATGGCAAAAACCACTACAATATTGTAAAGTAATTAGCCTCCAACTAATAAAAATAAATGAAAAAAAAAGAAATGAAACATCAGAGACAGAGAAACCCCTCTGGATAGGGACTCCAAACCTCTCACTGCCCAGAACCAAACTCTTATTCTGAAGCCGGTGTGTGTGAATATTTCCCAGGAGGTTATCAATTTTAGTTCATAAATAGGTGTCCATGGTATGGATTCTTTTAGAACAAAGAATGATCCAGTTCCAAGAGTTGACAGTGCTCAGGTTAAGAAACCCTGCCCTTACCTCCCTCCCCTGAGTTCTTGCAGCGCTGCCCCCCGCCCTCGCTGCCCACTACCACGTCCCCAAGGAAATGACCATGGTCCAGCTAACTGGGATGGAAAGGACTAAACATCTGCTGTGTGAATGGATGAACAAGTCGTGGGGCCCTCCTATCACAAGTGATCACACGAGACATTGGTGTAGGACAGGTGGGGCTGAGGTGGCAGGAGCCAGTCCATCTGTTCCAACTGCTGACAGAGAGATAATGTCCCCCTATCTGGAAGAAGTTCCACAGCCAGGACTTCCGTTGGCATTCTTTGGCAATTTTTAAAGATAGGGAATAGATAAGCATCAGCATTGATTGCGTATATACCATGTGGCCAGCGCTGTGTGTTTTCCAGGCACCAACTCCAGGTGGTCCTCACAAGGACACCCTGTGGGGGGTATCATGAAGACCTATGTCAGGAGCAAGGAACACCAAGCCCTGGGAAGTGAAAGGCACTCATCGGCAAGGGTGGGACCAATCTGGGGGTTTCTCTGGGGGAAGGCAAGAGTGTCTTTTGGGAGGATAACACTTCACTCTTAAATTGCCAAGAAAACTGCCACAATTCGAGGTTCAGTTTGTATTTCTGCCTCAGTCACATTTATTTTCTATTTAGGCGTATGGGTTTCAAAGGAAGAAAGAGAGAGAGAGAGAATTGGTAAAGATTTGAAATTTTGGTCATGTGTCACCACAGGGGAAGTTAATCCTGATATTTGTCTGCAATACCCAAGCACAAACTATAACTCCAGTAATAAAATGTGAGCTTGGAAAAATAAGCACCTGGAGCTGAGGAAAAGTAATGTATTTGTCTCAGGGCAGGGGTTGAATGCGCAGCTAAGTGTTTCGAGGGAGAAACATGTCAATACTCTATCTTTTCACCAACCTTTGATGGATGTGCTAATCTTCGCAGGTCAGCACGGTTCACCCTGGCAACGCACCAAAATAACTTATTTAAAAGGCAGCTGGCTTTTATAAATGGACTGAAACATCCATTTTTAGGTTTTTGTTCCCTGAAATATATTCTCTTATCAAAACAGTATTCGCTATTATGTAGTAAGAGTTCAATGACACCTTTTCTACCACCAAGGAGAATGCAGAGGTGAGCAGGTTTGGGAATCACTGTCCTCAGCTTTCAATTCTGGATGACTTTCAAGCTCTGTCGAGACAAGCAGGTAACCAGAAGGACGTCAGACACGGATTTTCATTCCTTTAGAGCAGGAGCTGGCAAGCTACCACCCACAGGCCAAACCTGCACTGTTTTCATCAATAGTTTTATTGGCATGCAGCCATACCCAGGCCTTTACTCACCATCTCTGGCTGTCTTCCTCCTGCAAGGGCAGAACTGAGGAGTCGGGACACAGATCATGCAGCCTCAAAGCCCGAGCTAGGAACTCCAGCCCTTGACAGCACACACACTCAGATGAGCTCTGTGCTGCTGGGCCAGCAGGTTTGCATCTGGGCTAGAGGACTTAGGGTTGGGGGGGAGACATCTGAGCCCCTGAAAACCTTTGCCTAGTTCAGTTGGGTTAAAGAAAGAAGAAAAGAGAAACATAATGACTAGGCAGGATCTCCAAGTAAGAACTTTAATGAACTGGTCGCTCTCATTGACATTCAAAACCAACGGGATGGATATGAAATTATCGTTTTATGTCAAAAGAACACCTCACTTGCAACAGGATGCGTTCTGCCCACTCCCAGGTGGCTGGCCTTATCACTGCCCCCGGGGGACTTTGATGAACGTGCTCAGTTGTCAGCATTGAGCCCCCTTTCCCTGAGAAGAGCGACAGGAGAGGGGGAGAAGGCGACCATGAAAGGCAACCAGAGGCAGAGGCGGGTGGGGGCCCCCCAGGAGGGGCTCAGAACTTGAGTGGGATGACAGGCCAGTACTTGGGCTGCTTGCGGTCGCAGTGCTTGTCAAAGCTGAGCTGCATGGCGGTCTCCATAGCCTGGATCTTGGTGGCACTGGCCCCATATAGGCGCTGCATCTCAGCCTGGCGCCGCTCTCCAGGTCGCTCGGTTGGGGGCAGCGCGGAGCGGCCACGCTTGTCACAGTACAGGCCATGGTCAGCATTCACGTAGTCTTTCAGGCGCGCTGCGTCCAGCTGCTGCTGCCGCCCTGGGAAGCAAGCAACATGTTCTGTGAGCCGGGTCATCTCAGCTGGCCCTCGCTTCTCTTTGCCTTCCCTTTCTAACTGCCAGGGCACCTGACCCTAACCCACTGGCTGGGAGCTTCTCAGACTCTAAGGTATAACCCATGTGGGGTGATCACTATCTCCTTTAGGAACCACATCTCTCACTCACTCAGCACCCCAAAGTATCCATGTTCAGCAATGGGCCTGAAAAACAGAGGAGAAAAATGCAGCCCCTCGGGTCTCTCTGGGTCCACACGGCTGCCCACAAGCTGCCCTGTGAGGCGTAGCCAGTGGTACTCCTGTGGGTTCAAACACTGGACGGACCTGACCAGCTGGGAAAGGGAACACTCCCTGCCAAGTCCAGGGCTATAGGTAGTAGTAATTCCCACCACAAATAAGCTGCTGGGGGTAAAAGAATCACCTCTGTGAAGAGGTATGGGTTTGAGGTCATCTGGGAAAGGGTGAGTGCTAGCAGCTAGATAACTCGAGGATGAGTGATGATCCCCGCACACCTCAATACAAATCACACCACGTGAGGAAAGGTGAACGGTCTTCAAGGCTGGCCAAAGGTAGGACAGGGCCAAGAAAGCATTCTTCTTCAGATGGCAGGAAGGCCTCTGTGCTGCCTACAGCAGCCTACCAGCTGCCTGCCTTATGGATAGACGGGGCTTGTCCCTTCACTCCAGGCCAGCTTAAGCTCAACTTCATGACAGTGGGTTATATGCTCTGATCTCATCTAAATGGATTCTTGTAAAGCAACACATATTTACTCAGGTTATCCTCTCCTCTCTGTTTTTACCATAACAAGTCCTAGTAGCATAACTTTTATTCTTTTTTTTTATAACTTTTATTCTTATGTAAACTAGAAACAACATAAAGATGTCAACAAAACCTAAGGCAAATTTTAGCCAACTTAGAGATTTTTGTAAGTGACTGTCAAGAACAGAGAAGGCACACCTTTGTAGACACTGCTGCTACCAAGAGAAATGCTACTTAGTAAGGACTGAAGATGGCTGTAGGGAATAAAACAATGATATAAATAATTTTGTCCTTGGTTAAAAAAAAAAAAGAATGAATGAAAGCTCAGTATGGAAGGGAACACAAGAATGAGCACATCAAGTGAATGGCAAGATATTTATGTGCCTATGCTATTTATGTGGCTAGGTACAGACACTCACAAATCTCACTCATTTATAAATCACACCGTGGAGCTGGAGAGGAGTTTTATAAGCTTGGAAATGTTAAAAATGCATGTGGCCATTTCTGTCTTAGCATACCTACAGCTTATTTTTATACAAGGAGGTAGTATGTGGATAATCCAAATGACTGTCAAGCAAAAGATATACAATATAACTGTTACCTTATCCATACAAAAGATAGAATTGACCTAGTGTAAAAGGCAGAACTAAACCAAAATATTGGCCTGATGTACAAATGAATGGGAAGTCGACAGGCATTTGTGTCTCATTTCTGGTCTTTCTGGCAAATCTGAAACTTCAGGATTTAAGATGTTCAATTCTCATATGGGTATACAGGTGTTTCAATTCTAACCCCCCCCCCATCACGGCCAGGGACTTCTCTTCTGAAGGCTTGGCATCTCCACCCAAGCCAGGGATACCAGAGTCCCCCTGCTGCCTATGACAGCTTAGGACATTTTAATAGTCCTCAGGCCCTGAGAAAACAGTTTCATACAGTCCCTCAGAGCCTGTGCACATGGAGGGCAGTAGTTCCCAGACCCTGGGCCTTTCACCCTCAAGCCTGTCCTAAGACTACCATCATTCTCACCAACAGGTTTAGTGACACAACAGATGTTGAACTTCCTGTTGAAATCAGTCTCTGCATTTACAAGTTTTAAAAAACACTGGAACCTTCGCTGTCTAATTTAGTGTTGCTCTCTGCTGTCAGAAATGTGAATTTAACCTTTTTACTTTTGCATCTTTATTTGTTTTCCTTATAACTTACCATGACTATTATGATGCTTCTTCTGCTGCCCTTCTGACAAAAACTATCTCATGGACATCGTGAGTGCTACGTTGCTTCAGTCGTGGCTGACTCTTCGTGATCCTAGGGACTGTAGCCCACCAGGCTCCTTTGTCCATGGGATTCTCCAGGCAAGAACACTGAAGTGGGTTGCCATTTCCTTCTCCGGGCGATCTTCCTGAACCAGGGATTGAACCCACGTCTCTTATGTCTCCTGCACTGGTAAGGTGGATTCCTTACCACCAGTGTCACCTAGGAAGCCTGCACAGTGGGTAGCTGCCCTCAAACATAGAGCAGAGACAGGAAGCAGGTCCCCAGGCACCAGAGGCCTACCTGTGGGAGTCCACCCTGGGGAGGGCACTTTGGCCTTTACTCACCCCATCTCCCCAGCCCTGGGGGGGGGCTGCAATGCCTGACCCAAAGCAGGTGGTCAGAAATGGTTGTTAACAGAAAGCTCGGGCAAAGGCCATATATTATTCTTTGTAAACAACTGTTCCTTCCAGATGCTGTTGGAGAAAAATGACAACCCAGTGATAGAGAAACAGATGCTCAACTCTCAAAAGGCAATGGGCAGAGCCTCTCCCGGAGGGCCTCTGAATCTCCCTGGGGAGAGGCACTACTGAGTTGTAGTCTGATTTTGTTCCCTTACATTTGAGTTGCTTTACCTTTACTTACATATACACACCCAAGTTCTAACATTAGACTATTAATACAGACTTGAAACCTGGTCAGCTTAAAACCAAGCACGTTCAGACTGGCTGGACTGGAGGCTATAGGTGGCACATGAAAGTACTTTAGTGCACACTGACCCAGGGATCCAAGCAAACCTCAGGATTCAATACTCATTTGAGGGCATCCACTTATTCTGGGTTCTATTTATTGCTTCCTCCGTCCCAGTGAAGGAAAGGATTGTCAATCACTGGCCATTTTTCTTTCTGTCAAAACAAGGTGAGGGCTCAGCCAACCAGATGGCTGACAAGCAGAGGAGTTGAACATCACACTTCAGACATAACTGGCCCTTGTCACGCAGAGGTCAGTCATTTTTCCTGAAAACAGTTGTGGGACTCAGTGTTACTAAGCACTTTTTTCGTGCAGGGCATTTGCCCAAGGCAACTTGCTTTAAAACAAACTGGAGTATCTTTCTTGAGTCCACCTTTAAAACAGGGTTGTAGCAGGGTAAACAGCCTACAAATTTCCAGCTATCCAAAACCTCAGAAGCTCAGGGACTTTGGGGATGTAACTAAGGATTGAGATGATTTTGGATTAGGGTGGATCCCAAATCCAATCAGAGTATCCTTATGTGAGACAGAACAGGGCACATACAGACACAGGGGAAACCATGGAAAAATAGCAGCAGAGACAGCACCCTTGTTACCAGAAGCCACTGAAAGCCAGGAGCTGTCAGGAGCTAGAGGAGGCAGGCCATAGAACCTTTGGAGGTGCGGCACTGGTGACACCTTGACTTTGTCCTTCTGGCCTGCAGAACTGTGAGAGAATAAACTCTGTAGTTTTAAATCACACAGTTTGTATAATCTGTTACAACAGTACTAGGAAACTAATTCCAGAGTTAATTTAACATGCACATAGAGTTAAAACAGGAGAAACAGCATCAGGGAGAAACTCTACTGGACTCCATCTGGGTTCAGGATATATAACCTTGATATTTTCACCTCAATCTACACATTCACATGATGCTACCAATGTAGACTTAAAGTCTATAAAGTAAAAAACTATCATGGGAGGTGACTTGGACTTCAGAGACCCTGACATAGCAGGAAAACATTTATTCAGTATTCCACAGATAATCAGCCCAAAGGCAGAACATTTTGGAGGACAAAGCACTAAGACAAATGAGTGTTAAAGAATGTGATTTTCCCCCATTTTTCTAGGATTAGCATGTCTGGTTATATTCTCTGCTGTGTTGCCAGGATTAATGACCTCAGCACAACTGAGCGAAAGCACAGACTTGATTTATATCACTAATGCCTTGTTTCTGGCTCGTCAGCAGCACACCCAGAACACAGGTACTTGCCAAGAGCTGGAGCCATTTCTGATGGGTCTTCTTCCCTCCTCAGCCCGCATCCCTGACTCCATGACAAATGTAATCCCGAAGTCCACGGGCAATCTCCATGTTTACTTTTAGAATAAGAGTCTCATGCTCTACCAACTGAGCCAGCTGGGCAGCTTAGTTTTAGAATGTAAGTGCATTTCCAGCCCTCCCTTCCATTTTCCTATGGTCATTCACACATGTCCTCTCACAGACTGGTTGATGCCCATCTGAATATCTGGACTAGATGAGACACGCATGGTGGAATTGTACTCCATCAGCTTGCTCCTATATTTGAACCTCACTGGTGAAACCAGGATGGCTCACTAAACACCGGGCCGTAGACTTCGCTCTATCCTCCAGGTTTTCCAGAGACAGTGGGCTGGGGTTCCAGCAGACTGACTGAAGGCTCACTAGGAAGCCTAGAGTCTACACCTTCCTGCTCGGGGTAGTGGGTGGGGAGTGGGTGTGGGTACCCAAGAGTGGAGCAGACGAGCCCATCACACGTACACGAACCACATCTGGGCCCTTCGGTAAGAACAGCACTTGGAGTGCTGCACAGGTGTGCACTTACCCCTTTCTCTCCCTCTCATTGCACACGGATCCAGTACCTCAAAGGCGAGTGCACACTCCATTTCTCCACAATCACCTGGTGGAACTCCTCTGACAGCTGAGCCCACTGGCTCTTCCCCTCATTTGCAAAGCTACCCATGACCTGCACCCCAGAGAGCTCTTCTACTATCTTTTTAAACTTGATTTTTGTCTTCTCTTCCCACACTGGTTTATGCTCTTTGAGACAATGTCCCTGTTTGCGCCTGACATCTACCCCCAAAATATCGGACTGGTTCTCAGTGAGACAACAGTGGTGTTTGTTTTGGGGGGCCTCCTTCTCTAAGTATTAGGATGAGGACATCACAGTCTCAGCTCATGGTTATTTATGACTAAAAATGATGGCTTTATTAACCTAACAGTTATTTTTCCTAAGAAATACCTGACAACACAGTCAACCTTTTAAAACTTCACAACCACCTAATTTTCCCTAAGTAATATTACCAGTGAAGTTTTAAATAACAGAAATATCCATTAAGGAAACGTGATATATAACCATCAAAAGCATGCCTGTTACCCCTGCAAAAGAGGAGTTCTTTTTTTTTTTTTTGCTTTTATTATTATTTTTTATTATTTTTTATTTTTTTTTCATTTATTTTTATTAGTTGGAGGCTAATTACTTTACATCATTGCAGTGGTTTTTGTCATACATTGAAATGAATTAGCCATGGATTTACATGTATTCCCCATCCCGGTCCCCCCTCCCACCTCCCTCTCCACCCGATCCCTCTGGCTCTTCCCAGTGCACCAGGCCCGAGCACTTGTCTCATGCACCCAACCTGGGCTGGTGATCTGTTTCACCCTAGATAATATATGTGTTTCGATGCTGTTCTCTTGAAACATCCCACCCTCGCCTTCTCCCAGAGTCCACAAGTCTGTTCTATACATCGGAGTCTCTTTTTCTGTTTTGCATATAGGGTTATCGTTACCATCTTTCTAAATTCCATATATATGTGTTAGTATACTGTAATGGTCTTTATCTTTCTGGCTTACTTCGCTCCGTATAATGGGCTCCAGTTTCATCCATCTCGTTAGAACTGATTCAAATGAATTCTTTTTAATGGCTGAGTAATATTCCATGGTGTATATGTACCACAGCTTCCTCATCCATTCGTCTGCTGATGGGCATCTAGGTTGCTTCCATGTCCTGGCTATTATAAACAGTGCTGCGATGAACATTGGGGTGCACGTGTCTCTTTCAGATCTGGTTTCCTCGGTGTGTATGCCCAGAAGTGGGATTGCTGGGTCATATGGCAGTTCTATTTCCAGCTTTTTAAGAAATCTCCACACAGTTTTCCATAGTGGCTGTACTAATTTGCATTCCCACCAACAATGTAAGAGGGTTCCCTTTTCTCCACACCCTCTCCAGCATTTATTGCTTGTAGACTTTTGGATAGCAGCCATCCTGACTGGTGTGTAATGGTACCTCATTGTGGTTTTGATTTGCATTTCTCTGATAATGAGTGATGTTGAGCATCTTTTCATGTGTTTGTTAGCCATCTGTATGTCTTCCTTGGAGAAATGTCTGTTTAGTTCTTTGGCCCATTTTTTGATTGGGTCATTTATTTATCCTAGTTAATTTTAAAAAATTTTTTATCATGGAAATATGTGAAATTAGAGAGTCTCTGGAAGAACAGTAATCACAAACAAGAACACGCTGTCCATGCTAAAGGATTTTATCCCAAGAAAACATTAAATGAGACTCAGATGACACTAAACTGTAAAATGTGTAAGTTCTTGTGGAGGTGAGTAATCCGGAAAAAGCTAAATCTTTCAAATTTATCTACGTTTTCCCTTGCTAGTAATATTTGATACAATCTATGTTCTCTAAATGATTCATGTGCAAGGCTGGGTTTGCCCTGATTGAATAAATAGCTTCTAGTGGCTCGAAGAGCAAAACAACGTCAACCAAGTATTCACACAACGCAGGTCCCTCATTTTTTTATTCAAACATCTCCCAGCTGTGTGTCTAACTGAACCTCCGTGAGCATTTCTAGCAGAGGTAATGGATTGGAAAGCACTGTGGGCATTCCAATTACTTACATCTGAGTGCCATCATTCATGACTGCTCCGAGGAACACATATTGATCCTGTACACCACTGAAAGAGATGGTGGGAAACCTAGCGCTGGTGAAGCCATGCCCATTATTTTTGGAGGGGCAGCATCAGGCCCTGGCAGCTGCTTCTCAGAGAGACCATGTCTTTCGTGAGAAGATTCAATTCTGACACCAAAGCCTGTTCTCACCCTCGCTAGACAACTCTCATGCCTCCCGGGGACCTGACAATGCTTCCAGGGCAGATGCTCTTGTCTTCTACACTCATTCATAAACTCCTAACTCCTCACTTGGGTATAGATGATATTTCAGGTTTATTTTAAATTAGCAGGTGATTCAAAATGGCCTTTTAGATGGCAGGGTTTTGCTCCCATCCTTAATTACAACTTTTATCACAAAAGTAGTACTCTTTCTGGTAGGAAAAGCATGTTATTCTGCCTTGGGTAAGGACAAGAGAAATAAGCACTGGCTTCCTCATATTTTCTTTTTCAAAAGCCTGTAACAGCATTCCAAACACAAGTGGACATGCTCCAGTGATGACCCTCCCTCATCCGTTTATATACTTTTAAATTAGACTAATGGTTATTTCCAATGTATTTTGAAAAAAGGTAAAATTTATTTCTGAAGATCATGGAAAGACATGTATTCTGTGTGTAGTAGAAAGTAGTTGTAAAAAGACTTGTTTGGATGTACTTTCTGATATGCAAAAAGAAGAAAACAGTTTAATCAAACGAAGGGAAGTAAAACAACTGAATGAGTAGTTTAGTGAGAACCACAGGCAGACACTAAAAGCCACGAGGCTTTACACACAGCCCACTGCTCAGTTCCTTGCACTCAGGGGGCATCAGTAAATGCCCACCCATCATTAGGAAAATACAGATCAATCAAGATGTAAATGAAAATCATACATCCCCAGGTTTCTATGCCTCTGTTTACTAGAAAATTCTAAGTAAAATATATATGATTAGAATGCAATAAAAACAATATTGAGACTGCCTACTGGTTGTAATGGGCTTCCCTGGTGGTTCAGATGGTAAAGTATCAGCATACAATGCAGGAGACCTGGGTTTGATCCCTGGGTTGGGAAGATCTCCCTGGAGGAGGGCATGGCAACCCACTCCAGTATTCTTGCCTGCAGAATCCCATGGACAGAGGAGCCTGGCGGGCTACAGTCCATGGGCTTGCAGAGTCGGACATGACTGAGCCAGCCACTAAACCACCACCACCACCACCACAAGAATTTTTTTTTAAAAAGTCCTATATTGAAACAACTCTGGAAAACTAATGTAAGTGAGGTACCACATCACGAGAGCTTTTCCAGACTTAGGATTGGGTTTGAATATTACCTGGACCCAAGCAAGGGGTCAGAAGTTCGTACATGAGGGCAGGAAGAAAGGCCTGAGGCGGAGCGGGCTGTACTTACGGCGCTCCTCCCGGTGCCGCTCAGTCTGCGCGAAGTACTGGCGCAGCTCGTCCGTGATCACCATGTTGCTCAGGTCGCACACTATGCCGCCATCGTCGGACTCGCTCTCGTTGTCCTCTGCGACCTGGGCTGGCTTTTCTGTGCTGCATCGTTGTGGTCCCGGCTTGCCAGGACGTGAACACCTGCGGGAGGCATCCCCAGAGGCTGAGGGAGGCTTGGAGCTTCTGCCACCCTTGGGAGCAGCACTCTGGGCAAGGCCAGTGGCTGGGCAGTACCACGGGGAAGTGACGACTGAGTCCACCGCCTTCTGATAAGCAATCTGGTGGCTGTGCATCCACGCCATGGCTTGATGGTAATGCTGCCAGTACCTTGCATAGACTGGATGAGAGGACCAAGACTCGGGATCCTGTGTGGATGCCAGCTACGAAAAATGGACACTGCAGGCTAGACACCACACGGGTTCAGCCTCAAGAGAAACCTTCAAACAGTCAATCAACTAACCTTTTTACTGTGTATCTACTGCATACCTCCTCCTCATTAGGATGCCTGGGGGCCAAAGAGGATATAAGACCGGTCCATGCCCATGAGTGCACACTTGTTCTGAAGTACTTGTTGCACACAAGGTTGGCACTGAACAATTAGTCTGAGGTGACAGCCCATGATAAACTAGGGGCAGAGGCTAATAATAATCATTTTTAGATGACATGCAGGAAGGAATGAGGAGCCACTGCCTATCATCCTGGACCTTTCAACCTGCTGTAATGAACTGACTGATTCCAAGTTAGAAATGCCTGCCAAGAAGCACGGGGGTTACTGAGGATGATGTTCTCTGGTCCCTCCCTCTCTGGCCCCTAAACACCTGTGGGCTCTCAGTGCCTGGGACTGAAGCTGATTAGCCATGCACCCCATGGTGCTTTACTGATGTATCCCTTTGGTCTATTCCATCATGCAATTAGACACTAAGACTTCTAAAAGTGAAAATGTACCTTTTTCCCTCTCATGAGTTAAAAAGAAAAATCTTACCTTTGCGTCCATCTCTGACTGTGAACATCCAAACCGAGCCCCAAAACTAGAAAAGAACAAGTCCAGGGCAGACATCTGGTCAGTCCAGTGGTGTGAGGTTTGTGGCTATTTCCCCAATATCTACCTCTTGTGATTTATTGATATGGCAGGAAACACCTCAAGGTAAAGTTTAATTTGTAGCTGCACCTTTTACAACCTATTTAAAACAGACTTAAAATCTCCCCCTCCTGTTCAAGGAAGGGTTCAGAGATGCTCAAAGTGCCAGCATACACCAGAATGTACCTAAGAAAAAAGTTAAACGCAATAGCCTACAATGCATGAGAATTTAAGCATCTATGAGACGAAACCCCTAACACAACGTGATGCTGAGCAAACAGGTACTTGGGTTTTGAAACTCTGTAAATCAGATACTGAAGGAGTCCTATTTCTTCTATTTCACTTAATTATAGAGTAGAACTTGAAAATCTCCAAGCCTTAAGAAGTAAACTCGATTTATTCTGTAATCTCCATCACATGCTTTGCTATGGTTAATGTGGAAAACTGGTAAGTTAAATCGACCACATCTTTTAAGATTTAGCCTAAAGAGAATGATTTACGTTTTTTAAATATAATAAGCTTTCAAATGGAGTATTTCCAAGAGGGCTGACATGGTCTTCTGTAAATTTATCTTAAACACAGCCCACACTTCTTGTTACCTGTTCTAAATTCACACACACATAATAAATGTAAACTGGGGGAAAGTGAACAAATGCAGTGAAAATACAAGTGTAAACTAACGTTCACATTAGTTTGAAACTATAAAGGCTTAAAACATGAGCAAGTATCTGAAAGTGTGGCGCACTGCTATGTGCTTTATAGGCTACTGAAGAAATATATATATGAAAACAGTCAATACAATTAAGGAGCTAACCACCTATAGAAGTAAAATGAACACAAGAGAAATTATAGTAGAAATCAGTGTATATTAATACTTGAGTGCTAAAGGGTAAGGTGTAGCCTTTAAGTGGCTAATTCACTCCCCTCGGGTTTTCTATCTCCACCACTGAAATCTGAACAGTTTTCTGAGTGCCTGAAGCACATAATGACATTAAAGTGAACTCCATGTGATTCTTAATAAAATTTGTTTCAGAGATTAACAATTAGCACAGGAATTAAATTAGAAAAGCCTAGGAGATCTGTGCATCTTGGGGAAATTAAGAGTTTTGAATCCAGACTTCTATACCTTAGAAAATACATACTTAGAAACAGATCAATGTAAATATTAATTATTTCAAACTGGGTGATCTGACATTTTCCAATATGTAATAAATATTACTGTGATTGAACACTACTGCAGATCCTGGACAACCCTGTTTTTATTTATAATTGGGAAAGTCCAGTCTGGCTTTAGAAGCAGTAGTACCAATATTCTGCAAATACACAAGATGGCTTATGAGAGGCTCCCCTTTGAAGAGCGAGAAGTCAGGCATGCGTGACAGAGTAGACAACTGTTTAAGAGGTTCGAGTGTAAGTCATCATGTTTGCCAGGCAGTTCAAATGTCAATGGCTATGATTTAAAAGGGATGGGAGTGCTAATTTGAGAAGTGGTTACTTACGTATGCATTTGATTCAACAAATAATTTGACAGAAGGACTGCCATGTCCCACTACCTCAGAAATCACAAAAGGCACTCTGAGCACTTTTCTAAGAAAGCAGCTAGGACAAGGGGCGGGGATGAAGCAAGCCAGTTCCTGCACTTGGATCAGAAGTCACTCAGATTTAGCCCTGGGTACCGACTATCTATAAAGCATATCAACTCATCTGCCGAGAGGCTGGCCTCTTTTAAGACCCAGGCCATGAAGGAAAGATGAATTTACATCCATCAGGGAATACAGGCAACTCTGTCGATTTTACGGGTTATGCTCTCCTCACTGTCTGGCCACTGGGACACTTCTGGTCAAATCTGCTGCCATCTTCCAGCATGTTTAGAGTCCTCAGGCTCTACGTTCAATATGCTGCTCATTCTGTCCTGGCTTTATTATTTTCCCTTCTCATATTCCAAAACCTGTGTGTCATATCCTTTTACATTTTAAGTATCTTTAAGGTTGCTAAAATCCTATAGATACTCAATTAAAAAGAGTATCGATTACCTGCGGAATCTAAAAAAAATAATGATACAAATTAACATATACAAAACGGAAAGAGACCCACATAAGCTTATGGTTATCAAAGGGGAAATGAGGGGAGGGATAAATTACAAGTTTGGGATTAACATATACACATTACTATATATAAAACAGATAACCAACATGGACTTACTGTATAGCACAGGGAACTCTACCCAATATTTTGTAATAACCTATAAAGGAAATGGATCTGAAAAAGAATGTATGACTGAATCACTGCTGAATCACTGAAAGTAACACAACATTGTAAATCAACTATACTTCAATAAAAATAACAAATAAAAGTTTTCTTTAGGTTGAAAAAATAATCCCTGAGAATGAATGACAAATTAATCAATTATCTCTCTCAAATCAAATACGATAAAGTATGGAAAAACATGTCTAAAGAAAGAATAGCTTGCAGAGACCTTTATAACTATTGTTAGCTGGCTATTTCCAGTATTACTCTTGGTATTTTATACCAGCAAATTTTTTTCTCTAAAGGACCAAATACTCTGGGCCTGTAGGCCATATATCCTGCTACACAGCCTTCCTCTTTTTTTTTTTTTTAATTAAAAAGACCACCTTGTAACAATGTAAACAGCATTCTTAGTCATGGGCCATCACTTGCCCACCTCTGCCTAATGTTAATCCATTATGATGCTGTAGAGACCCTGCCCTCAGTATGCTGAGCATCCCACCTGTTCCTCGCTTTGCACTTAGAAATCAGTGGAAGAACTGAGATTCTCACACAGCTCAGAAGCTATCAGGCTCAGAATAAGACCAGAGCAAAAAAGAAAACTGATTATGACCAATAGCAATCATGGCGACCAGTTCCTAATACTGGGGACAAAAGAACCCTGTCTGTGACTAAATAAGCAAATCGGACTATTTCTTAAAGAGCTACATAGACCTTAAAGACTTAATTAAGAACAAAACAAAACAAAATTCTAACTCCTGGAAAACAGGATCAATCAACAGGGCTTAGAAAACATATGCAGTGCCCTGATTTCTGATGGAGATCCTACAAGTTGCCAGGCCTAGCAGGAACCCAACAAGGGACAGGAATCAAGAAAGAATTTTGAGTGTCTATTCCCTGGAAGAAGGAACCCATATCCTTCCCAGCGGACTGCATCTGTCGACACCCAAAGGAAGGTGAGAACCTCCTTGAGTAACGGGCCCTGTTAACTTTTTAAAACTGGGTACTCTTTCTACACAGAGAGCTTAAGGACCTAATAAAACTGCTGGGGCTTCTGAAAACCCAACATTAAAATACTTCTTAATACTACCACAGCACTTTCACACATTACTACCATCTCAAAGAAAAGAAAGCTTATGGGAACAGCATATGGGAGATGCCTTTTCAGCGGTCTTTAATTTGATCTTTCCCCACCTTCCCAGGAGCGTCTCGTACTCTTTTATGGCACCTGGCTTCATGGATTGCGTGGCAACTCTTCTCCTAGTGGGAGGTGGAGTTGAAAGAAAAGAGAGGGTCGATGTCAGGGGAGGCTGGGACCCACAGCCCTACCAACTGGGCAGCCCTCCCCAGGGAGGACAATGGCACAATAGTCACTGCCCAGCTGAGCCCAGGCGAGCACAGAGACCCAATTCATTGTCTGTCCTCAGCCAACAGAGGAAGGAAAAAAACAGCATTGAGGTCATTCACGAAACACTGCCGAGGCCCAAAGGCGAAAGACAGTGCCTCTGAGTCTTGAATGATACATTTTCCCATATAGCCCTTCTTAAAAAATGCACTCATTCTTCAATGACTGCTTATCCTGAGAGATACATTTAAAAATGCCTAACTATACAGGAACAACAACAGACAAGAGCTTTTAGGTTTTCAATGAATAAAACGTGACTATTTCCATTGAGTCCTTGAAAATTTCCACCAAGTGGTTGCAAATTTCCACCTATAAGCAATGTGGCTTTATTGAGAGGTAGTCACACTGTATACAATCTTTTAACTGCCTATTTAGATTCTTATAAATATAGGGTCTAGGACACATCATAGCAACCAGATAGATGAAACACAAATTGCCTTTGAAATGATAATGGATATTCTCTAACTGGATTTTCTTCTCTATCCTGCTTTCCCACTAGAATTCTGAAAATTAAATACATGAAGACTCCTCTATTTTGTGAATTTTGCAAAGAAACACATTCAGTGTTGGTCATTAAATAAGTTATGCAAGTTTCCTATAAGGCTCTCACTAATTTGGTTCTGGAGGCAACCATAGAATTTGGGGGATCTAATTAGGTCTTCAGTTTACATTGTTTCAAAGTTGAAAAAACCGGGTCTGCTGGAGACTGCTCAAAATGAATGACTGCATGGTAGAGAAATCTGAAATACAGACACTGAGTCACATGCAGTTGTACGGAATCTCTGGATTAAGAGATAATAACCCTATCAAAGATGTCTCCCAATAACAAACATGCTGGTAGCAACTTCCTCAACTAATATAAATGAGAAAAGGAGGTTTTTTGGGAGCACAGCTTCTTGTTGTCACCCCTAGCTGCAATCTGAGGCTGGCAAATTCATCTGGCTTGCTGCCCTCAGAGGCTCCCTCCTGCGGCTTGGCATGGTCGCTGCTCAGTGATTTGGACATCAGAGATGGCTCAAGTCTGAACAGCCTTTTCCCACCCTCAGCAGGCCAAGCTCCATTTCTGCCAGGAACAGGCCTCCTACAAGCCCACGAACTGGGGGCTTGCCCAGTTCAGAAGGCCTGCCCCTCTCTGCCTCTAACAATTCAAACTGATGGGTGAAGGAGCCCCAAACCTGAGTTTGATTTCCTTTTCATTCCTTCCATCCCCAACCCCAGTTTACTCTTCTGGTTGTTGCAGAAAGAAGCAATATCACAAAGAAGGCACAGGTGGGGAAGCAGAAAGGCTGAAAGGATAGTTAACAATTCTTCTGTTTCATACAAATCA